AAAGGTCTGGAGGTAGAGAGCAGTCCTAAGGAGAAACCCTTGCTGCTTATGGATTGGGTAGTTCCCAGTCAGGAAGGTTCACAGAAGTCCCAGCTACAGGTACGTGAAAAATGCCCTCTGTGCTGTCTGCTCATGGCCTCCTGCATAACACCTACAAAAATTCAACAGTCAAAAACAACTACCCTCTCCACACTGAAAATGAACAATATGAAGAAGACATTTTAGAAAAATTCATCATACATTTATATTAAAAATAAAGAAATACATAAGAATATGCTTAGCTAATGACATCAAAGACTTCTAGACCAAAAACTGCAAAATGCTGATGGAAAAAAATGACAATAATATAAACAAAGGAAGTCCAACCTCACATGCATAGACTGGAAAACCTAATTTTGTGAAGATAAATATTATCTGCTAACTTATTTACACATTGAATGTCATCCCTATCAAAATCACTGGTTTGTAAGTTTGCCATTGGTGGGATCCAAACACCTGAGAAAACAACTTGGAAGAGGACAGTTTCATTTTAGCCCATGGATTCAGAGTTTCTGTTTGTGGCTGGCTGATGCCATTGCTCTGAGCCCTGGTGAGGGAGAGCATCATGGCAGAAAGGTATGGCAGGGAAAGGAAGTTAGAGCTGGCACCAGGAAGCAGATGGAGAGCCTTTCTGTTATGGTTTGGCTGTGAGGTGTCCTCCAAAAGCTCATGTAGGAGACAAGGGGAGAAAGTTCAGAGGAGAAGTGATGGGGTTGTGAAAGTCTTAACCAAATCAGTGATTAATCCTCTGTAAGGATTACCTGAGTGGTAACTGGAGTGGTGAGTGTGGCTGTGGAGGAAGGAATGGGGACGTGTCTTTGAGGTGTATATTTGTATCTGGTGAGTGGAGTCTTTCTCTGCTTCCTGATCATCATGTGAACTTCTTCCCTCTACCACACTCTCTGCTTTGATCTTCTGCCTCTCACTGCGAGCCCTGAGGAATGAAGCTGGCTGTCTATGGAGTAAGACTTCTGAACTGTGATCCCTACAAAAATTTCACTCCCCTATAGTTGTTCTGGTTGGTCCTTTAATCACAGTGGTAGAAAAGTTGAGTAAAATCCCTGCTCATCAGGGACAGAATGTAAACCCCAAAGGCACAACCCCAGTGACCTCCTTCCTTTAACCACACCATACCTGCCAGTGTTACCACAGTATTAATTAATTTCAGTAGATTAACTGACTCTTTATGTTGCACCTCTCATGATATCATCATATAACCTCTTGGACATTCTTGCATTGTCTCACACTTGAGCTTCTGGGGGACACCTTCTATCTAAACCATAAAAATGGTAAAAAACTATTTTGGATGAAATGGAAAAATTCACCCTAATTTTAATGGGGGAATCATCAGGGGTCTTAATATTAAATGGATTTTGAAAAGCACAAAATAAACTTGAATGTCTTAATGCTGTCTCCTTTCAAAATTTGCTTCATGCCTCATATCACCACTCTCTGGTTAAAATGCACACATGTAATCCATGGGATACAAAAAGGATTCCTGTGTGGACAACTTCATTTTATTGGGGGCAGCAAGCCCAGAAATTAGGGGTGGACACTGTTTGAAAAATATTGAGCAGGAAACCAAATATCCACGTGGAAAAGAAGAAGGATGGACCTTACCCCAAAACCTCCACAAAGACTGACTCCAAATTCATGAAAGATCCAAATTTACCAAATCAATAAAACTTCACACAGAAAACCCAGAAGGATGCTTCATGGCTTTCAACTTGTCAACAAGTTTTTGGATATGACATCAAAATGGCAGGCAAGAAAAGAAAACATGATAAATAGGATTCATCACACACACACACACACACACACACACACACACACACACACACACA